TTTAGAATATCTCAAAATAGCAGTCGTTTTCTTAAGTACAATATTTGGGATTTTATTTATTTTTTAAGATAAAGTTCATCTTTCTAATTTTTTTTTCTATATACAATATAATTTTAAAAATAATTCTTGTACCAAACAGTTGCAGTGAATTGTTAAACCTATTTTTTTAATTGGTCATATAATTTAGTCACATGTTTAAAATTAAATTTATGTAGAAAATGTATTATATCAAGTGTTGAATATGAAAGAAATATGAGCTTAAAATATTGACAGTGCTACACATCTCGAATTCTAATTTATAATTGTATATATCTTGAATCTCACGTGGCTATAACTAAACAAAAATGAATATCCTCTATTTTAATACATATTGCACTTTATTCTTTTATATATTTGTGTTTCATATTTTAACAAATTAAACAAATTTACAATTGAAGAAAAAAAAAGGTAAGAATGAACAGTTACATAGGTTTCTTTCTCTATCTATAATTTGTAATTTTCTACTAATATTTTTTTATTTTATATATATATATATATATATATATATATATATATATCTTTTGGGTATCTCTTTAAAATTTTACCGTAATTAAAAAATACCAAATTAAAATATAATTAATAAATTAAAGTTCTTATTTACGAGAAAGAGATCACTCATTCATAGAAATTTTTTTGTAACTTCTTGTTTTAATTATTTGAAGATTTAATAGAAAGAGTTTCCCAAACCAATATATATATATATATATCAGATGAAATGAATTAAAATTAATGAGTTATTTTAGGGGTTTGGATTCTATATTGATAAATTTTAATATTTAATCTATCTTTCTATATTAAGATTTTTCCTATATTAAAAAAATTACTTTTAAAATATATAAAGCAGACAAATAAACAGTCACCTAATTCGATAAAAAATCACAAATATAAATTGGTGAAGTGTAGCATTTTCCTAAAATATTATATGAAAATTTGGAAAGGAAAAAAAAAAAAAAATGGATTTGGGTTTAACCAGTAAGAAGTTGGATAATAACTATTATTAAAAAATTTAAAAATTTGGACATGTGTCTAAATTGTATTAGGCCACATCAGGTAGAAGGATAAAGTTCATCATCCCATGAAAGGACCGAAGTATTATCTTTTTTTGCAAGTCACAAAATTTTTAAAATTATTCATAATATTTATGAAAACATTTTTTTTTAAAAAATACTCTATCTATCCCAAAATAAATGTCCACCTTTTTATATACATTTCTAAAAAATAAGTTTTGAAATTTTAAAAAGAGCATAAATATATGTTCTATCTCCAAAAATGCATTTCGCTAGGAAATTTATATTATTTTTAAATCATGATTTCTTTTTTTATAAATATGACAATAGGTCTAAATAAATTATATTTAATATTTTTTTATATTTATAAAAATAAAAACAATATAATAATCTAAAAAAAAAAATATGAAGGACACATAGAGAGATAAAACTATTATACTATTCTTAACAAAAGAACAGATTTTATTTTAGAAATTTAAAATGGGATATAATGGAAATTTAATATATTTTCCTCAAGAAAATAAAATTTTTCTAACGAAAATTTTGTGGGAAAGTTAGGTGGTTGGTTTGGAAAGTTACTTTCCCACAATATTTCATTTCTTGTTATCCAAACTTTAAAAAGTTGCAGGAAAAAAAAAAAAAAAAAAAAAAAAAAAAAAAAAAAAAACCATTACTTTCCTTTTCATGTTGTTTCCGCTAAGGCAAAATAAAAATTAATATATTAAAAAAGATTTATAAATTTATAATAATACACTTTCTTTTATTGTAAGTTTATTATATATGTTATTCAAATCATAAAAAAATAATTTCTCATAAAATTTTTTTAAAATAGTTCTTGCTAAATAAATACACGATAGAAATTTATCGACAAAAATTGTTTACTCGTTACGTTGATGTTGTCCAATCACAAATGTACAAATAATAAAATTAAGAAAGTGATAAATAAGAAATCAGATAGAAATTTTTAAAATAGTTCTTGCTAAATAAATACATGATAGAAATTTATCGACAAAAATTGTTTACTCGTTACGTTGATGTTGTCCAATCACAAATGCACAAATAATAAAATTAAGAAAGTGATAAATAAGAAATCAGATAGAATGAACTTCATCTAACCTGCTAATGTGGTCCAATAAAATTGCGACAAGTATTAAAATTAAATTGGGCATTGTCTAACTTTTGCTTTTAGACATGTGTTTTAAATCATAATTTTTACTTTTAAACACTTGTTTTATATTTATAAGGCCACATCAACAAATTGAATAAAGTTCATCCAACTTGGGTTGGACCTAAATATTGTTATGAATTATTTGTACATTTGTACGTTACTAGACCACATCAGCGATGGCCTACTCACCGATGAGTAGGTTATCACTCTTCACCGCTGATATGGTTCAATCACAAAATTAAAATAATGATAAATAACAACAATAACTTCTTTTTTTTTGAAATAAATTCAGTCAGCCTATGTTATTTCTTTATTTTTTATTATATAATTATAAATTTAAGTGCATTTGTAATTGAATTATATTAACAGCAAGTAAAGATAAATTACTCAATAATTAGGCAAGTAACAAGTCACATAAAGTGGGAGCGAGAACAAATTTGAGAACTAAAGCATGAAAGTTGCATATTTAAGTCATATATAGTGAGATGCGTAAAACATAAGTACAAGAGTTCATTCGAAACGTAAAAATAACATTAATTAAAAAGAATTATGTGACTTGAGTCTTCACATAATTTATTTTACTATTTTGCAATTCACTTTCAGTAGTAGTTTCCATAAAATCAAACAGAGAGCCATTAATTATTTTGTTTTGTACGTTTTCCTTCCTATTTAATGTTTTCTTCTGTTTTTTTCTGATTTGGGAAAATCTGTGGTAGGTACGTAGTAAGACCCCACTACTGCACTATTTTCAAATGCCAAAAGGGCATAAATTGTCGTACAATTAATCAAAATTCAAAAAAAAATCAATCACCAGTTGTTAAAGTAACAATTATACTGTATTTGGTTTCATAATCATTACATTCGTACAAAATATTTTATATTTATACATATGGTGCAGCCACACAATAGACTAGACAGTAAGCCCACAGAAGATAGTACTATATATATATATATATATGACTATATCTATAATGTGGTGTCCTTTGAAAACTACATCAAAACCACCCCCGCCCCTTCGGGTCTCCCTTGAGAGAGAGAGAGCATTTGCAACTGAAAAGGAAATATTGGAGAGAGAGTGTCAAATGGAAATTATCTAATGCAAGGACACTGTCTGGTAAGTGAGGTCAAATTAATAAAGAAGCAAAGCAATATATATGGATAAGATATATAATATAGTTTAATATGTTCAACCAATATAATGATGAGTTTTAAAAGATTTATGACTTTTTTTTTTTTGGATAAAGAATTATATCCTCTTGTTGTTTGTATAATAATAAAATTTAACAAGCATGGAGTTCATCCTAAAATAAAATAGTTTTGGTTAAATAAATAATTTAATACATTTTTCAATTGATGATTAAATATGAAGAATTCACCTATCAAAATTCTTTTTGATAGCATAACTTTTTTACAAGAGTTGAACATACCAATCCGAACTTAAACCCAATCCAAACGCGAATTTTAATATTATTTATATACTCCATCCATTTTAAAATAGGTGTCCACATATTTTGAGATGTAAGTAGTATATTTTTAAATATATCACATATAATATTCAAATTATGATCACATTTTTAATTCTAATTTTCTGTGTTAAATTTTAATTTATTACATGTTAATACTTTGAAAAATTAACTTTTTAAGAATTTGTTTTTAATTTTGTAAAAATTTGCATTAAAATTTTAAAACCTTTCTAATATTAAACTAACTCAAGCTCATATTAAATTCTAATCCGAATTAAACTAACTTTCTAACCTGAAATCTTAACTTGAGTTACAAATCTGAATTTAAAAATTTAAAGATAAATTGTGCTCGGATTAAATAATTAGAATTGGAGGTCAAATTGAACTTTCATATATCGGATTAGTTAAAAACCCTAATTAAAAGTTGACCAAACATATGTTATAAAGTAATTGATATGTGCATTATATACACTTTCATATATCTTTCTCACAGTATATATATATATATATCGCAAATATGAGAAAAACATAGGGAGATCTTATTTGTGCACCACAATTTTCCTCCAGTGGTATATCTCTTTTCCCTTTAATAATTAAAATGACAAATTTGTCCTCCCTCTCTTCTTACTGCAACTATTTTTAAAAATAATATTTGCAGTACACATTTTGTTCATCATTTACATTCCAATTGAACCCTTTTTTTTTTAAAAAAAATAAAATAAAATAAAAAACCATAAAACAAAGTTATTCCTCAAAAGTGAACCAAAGGGGTATTTTTTGCAATAGCTGCAGAGTTTTAATTTAAAAAAAAAATAAAAAAAAATAAAAAACCATAAAACAAAGTTATTCCTCAAAAGTGAACCAAAGGGGTATTTTTTGCAATAGCTGCAGAGTTTTAATTTACGTTAGAATAACAATTATGTCACTCTCTAAAACAAAGTGAAGAAAATGGAATGAAAATATAATTTCTCAATAATGAGTTAAAATATCATTTCCCATCATTATTAATTATCATTCATGCTTTTGTCGCAGAGGATTGGGTGAGAGAGATGAGAGATGTGGTGGGGTTTATCTTTTAGAAGAAAGGGACAGTTGATGGCCACCCGAAGTCCACAACGAGCAATGGCTTCCATTGCACAGCTCAACTCGTTTGTCGTTTTCCTAGGGTTTATTCACAGACATACCAGGCCACGTGTAGCCATTTTCACGGCTTTTACAAAAACCTAAATGCTCTAGCGTTAACGCCTCTTCTCTGCACCATATATACTGATAGATGAAGAAGAATACCTAAAAACTTAAAACCAATTTGTGCTCTCTCTCTTTCTCTATATATATTTTATGATTCTCTTTGTATTTGTGGGTTAATATTCATTTTTTGATCAATGCCGGTCTATACCTGTATATACACTTATACATTATACAGTGGCTTGCCATCAATCTCCATTAATCCTCTACACTACTCCTACTTGAATTGGGCGCAACTTTATATATATATAATATATATACATATATATCCGGTCATTCACCACTCTCTCTCCTCTTCCATAAAAACTGTTGCTAACTTTGTCCTCGATCTCTTCTTCCATTAACACTGTACGTAGCTAACTTTGCCCTAGATCGAGAAGAGATATAAGTGAGATTTGAACCCAATAAATGTTACCTTCAAATTAGCCATCAGAAAATGTTCTCTTCAACCAACGGTGCTAACCCTTTTCCTCATCTTCCTTCATCTTTCCACCTCTCTCCTCCTTCCCTCAACAGCCATGAAATGTTTCTTCACCACCACAATTACAAAGATCTGCTTTTGGGTCACTACTTGTCATCACCAGCCAATGCTCATCAAGTCCTAGATAGAACTCTTTTTAGCATGAATGGTTCAAACCAAGGTGTCAATAATGGACTAGATGATGGTCATGACCTCTATGCTCAATATTCCAACTCATTCCCAAGGAAGAAACCTGTGAAGAAAGACAGGCATAGCAAGATCAGTACCGCCAAAGGCCAGAGGGAACGGAGAGTCAGGTTGTCCATTGGGGTTGCTCGGAGGTTCTTCGACCTTCAAGACATGCTTGGTTTTGACAAGGCTAGTAAAACCCTTGATTGGCTTTTCGCCAAGTCCAAAACAGCCATTTCTGAGCTGGTGCACATGAATCACAGGATCAATGGTGGTTCCAAGAGCTCCTCCGTCGAATGCCTAGTAGTGTCGTCAAGAATCATTGAAGCTGCTGCTGCTGACAATGGAGACACAATACAGGGGATGATAGCTTCCAACAAGAAGCTGTTGAGACGGGATAAATCCGCACTTCGTGTGCTTTCAAGAGAGTCTAGAACAAAGGCAAGAGAAAGAGCAAGAAAAAGAACTAGCGAAAAGATGTGCACTAGATCAAGGGTTGATCAATCTGATGATAAAAAAATCTCCAATTCAAAACCCTCTATGTTGAAACAATTAGGTTCTCATAGAGACATCACAATATCTTCAATAAATCTGGATGCTGAAATTGAATGTAGTACTATGTCTCACCCACAAATAGTACTTAATCAATTAGCACCAAGAGATCAGGACATAATTGATGAATCTATTGTGATGAAGAGAAAGTTTGAGCCATCTTTGTTGTCTGATAATTATGAGCAAGACCTTTCAAACTATTCTTCAAATGTCGCGCAACGTTGGGACATTGGTACTACTATTGCACCCTCTAGCTTTCGTGTTATGGCCAGCATGAATCTATCCACAGGTATCATCCCAATTATGTACATAAGAACTTAGCTGAATTGATTCTTTGAACCATTTTATTATTTAATTTGTGTCACAATTAATTTGCAGAATTTCAAATCTATGGCAAACCCTGGGAGGTCTACAACAACCACAGTCAGCTCTACTATGGTACATGAACTCTAATAAATATATGTATTTTTAGTTCTTTTGAAGTTCCTTCAGATTGAAATTAATCTCTGAATAATTAAAAGTTGTATTATCTTCCCATGCTTATTATGTTTTCAGATCACCCATCAACTGCAGAGCAGTTGAACTGATCATGGGGAAGATATATGTATGTTTCTCTATTATTTATGTTTGTTAATTAATTTGTGCCTGAGTTTTATTTTTCTTCTTCTTTTTGGATACAATATATTTCTTACTACTATGGTTTCTGCTATATATTAGTACACTTACCTAAACATTAGAAAAACAAATTTGATGGTAGCAGTTGAGACTTGGCATGATGACCAGGATGATGAATCTTACTACAGATAGCCAAGCATGATTTATCTGTAATCAAATAACATATTTTAATTGAGAACAAAAGAAATTATGAGGACGTACCTTTATTCTCGGTATATTTAAACCTAGTGTTACTGGTAGTACTAATGTGTAAAGAGCACATCAAAAGGATATGAGGTAATATCCATGACTACATATAACCATTTGAACTCTCCATATATATCTTTAACATGGATTTTTGGTTGATTTGTAAATTAACCTAATTTACACGGCATCTAGGTGAATATTTAGATCATAGATTGTTTCTAAAACATTTATATCTCATTGTATCATAAGTAACAAGAGTTCCAGAAACAGCTTTTGTGAAATAAAATTATGACACCGCATTGGATGAAAATATATGATAGTATTAAAGTTCACTATAAAGCAGAAACGGGAATGGTATATTACTGAGTGTTCTTCCTTTACAACCTTATATACTTGTTGAATGTTATGGATATGAATCTTAAAAAAATTCATTTGATAAAAGAAGAAATGAAGCTAAATGAGGTTGATTTGAGTGAATGCATGTCACATTTAAATTTTGCATTATTGCAAGTATCATCTCAATTAATCAAAGATGTTGGGAGGAAAATGTCACTAGGTTACAAATAACACTCCCTATTATAGACATCGGACAAGGATCCCCTCCAGAAAAGAAGAGGTATTGGTGGGTGCGCAGCACCTCTCCTTTCATAAAGATGATCCTTATCCATAGACAACCTCCCTACCTTCTCAAATCTAAAATCTATGCAGTACTAGCTCCATAACTCCACATCAATCTGGAATATTCTATAACTTCAGTCATGTCATTCCGCCGGTCCAAGACATGGTAGATTTTCCATGCAACTTGACTAAGCGTGACACCATGCTTACAAAAATATGAATAAAAAAAATGCAACCCAATGAGTGCTCAGGCACATGACAATGGCCAGGATTTATCAGGAAAAAGAATATGGAGATTTATGAGTTAATATCTTAAGCAAAGAGTTTAAAGCTTAATATGTATTTTTTAGAAGCAACTAGGAGTTAATTCTTTGGGCTCACTATAAAATTTTGGTAAAAAAAATAAAATAAAGAAAAAATAAAATTTGGGGATTCTGCTATTGTTTGGGGTATAATAATATAAGGAAATAAATCTTTTAAAATGTGATAATATAAGAAAATATTTTTAATTTTTGGGATTCTGATATTGTTTGGGATCTAATAATTATAAGGAAATAAAAATTTTAAGAAAGTAACAATATATAAAGAATATATATATATATATATATATATATATATATATTTATATTTTGGATTATTGGTTTAGGGGACTAAGCCTTGATAATATCTGTTGAGTCCCCAATCAAGAGTGAAGGCTATAATGATAACTCTGATATAGATTGAGAACAATTATTTAATAATCTCGATCATTTCAAAAGCGGATGTTGAGAGAGAAAAATCTAAAATGTATCTTAGTCCTTTGCCATGCTAATTGATATTAAAAGTTTTAATTAGCACAGAAGTCTCATGTTAGATCTTATTTTTCCAAGGTGCAAAAGAGTATGCAAGTTTCAGAAAGAACTAAATTTATAAATTAAGGGACTATTAAGGTTCTCTTACCAGAAGCTTGTTATTCTGTTATATAACTTCATATACATTGCTTATATATGCTTGTTCTATGGTTACCTTTTTTCATTTGCATAAGAATAGGTTCCTGCCTCTCATAAATTAAATAGCTGATGATTCTTGTCTTCAATAGTGATCATCTAATAGCTTGTCATCTTTGACGAAAGAGTTGTGCTGCAGCTAGCTAGCTAACTTCAAATCCGGATGTGAAATATATTGGGTATATATAGCGGGTATGCAACACTACCCAACAACTTAGACTTTTGACTCAGAATGTAGGGGCCCGACCTGTACACAAATACAGTACTACATTGAGCTACATAACCTAAGTTTTGATCTTAGATTGTGGTTAAAGTAGTTTTTCTTTTCCTTTTGTGTATTTAATTTATTTTTAGGTAAAGAAAATACTTGTTTCATGATGAAATAGCCACCTTAAAACTAGGGGAAAAAATTTAGCCACCTTAAATCATTGTGGGAGCTGCTCCCACATAAAATAGTTTAGTATGTTTTGAGTCCTAATAAGTGTGAACTCCATGATTGAGACCTTGAAAATGCAAGATCTTTTTATCATCTGAATCCTTAGTATTAGAAAGCTTTTAATTTTGAAGTATTTATTACATTTGGCTTTCTTTTGTAATTATTGTTACCGTGCATATATGTAAGCTAGCCTCGAGTACTGCGTATGTGCCTAAGCATTTGGATGATTTTATATGATGCTTGAATTTTCAAAGAGCTGGAGTCAATATCCATTGGAAAAAATCTAGTGTGAATCTGCATCAAAGAGGTAAATCACATAAGGTAGGAGGATACAGGAAGTTTGTTGAATTAATGAGTAGATAGTTAAGTTCTCTGAGGCAAGTCCAGTTAGATTTATATTGAATACTCGATGCCCTCAATAATGATGATCGAGCTACTTAATTACAGAAACAGAGCTCCAATTTGGAGTGCGATGAGTTCGTGTTTTGGTGAAAAGAAATGATTATAGAAGAATTTGAATAGCGCGCTGTGTATAGACATGTCATTTTTCTAATGAGTAATGCTAGCTACTTGAAAGTGAAATTCAATGTAGGTAAAAGCAGAATAAGATATATTGTGATGTTGCTAGTTACAATACACAAAGTTTTGAGTATATATATATTTTGCTTAGAGAACACAGGTTTGCAAGAAATACATGGACATGTATGGTTACGCATTCAGCTGAGAATTGGAGAAGATCTGCTTTGAGTGGAATCTGACTTCACAGAGAGAAGTAGGAAGTCTCACACCCAAAACTTTGTACCCATCAATAGGACAGAAAGGAGTACTGCTGAGGTGGAAAACAAAAACTTTATTAATTAAAAATTTAAAACAGGTTTAGGTAGTTTTTTGGTAGAAGATATTTTTACTTGGATTCTCTGTGATTCCTAAAATCACCTGCTAATGTGCAGTGTACGTGGTATATGTTTCTCACTTATGATAAAGAACTGAATGAAATTTTCGTCAATATACCTGCATGATTTAGAGATTAATTCTGGCTTTTCATGTGTATCCATAAACTCAATCGAAGGAGAATTTCAGATTAGATACAGAGACCTACCAATGGCAATGGATACTAGACCAACATGATTAGCGCTTCATTTTAGTCTGATTATGAAAGATTGTGCGACATTTACATCTGTGTGTGTGGGTAAGGTGTGACATTCTTGAATAGGAGCATATTTTGGTTGGTTTTGATTGAATATATATATAATCCCAAGATGGGCTATTTAATTTAATTTCTACACCCTAAAGTGGTAGGGTTTAAGGATTATCTAAATTTCACTGTCTTTTGAGAAATCTGCTACCATGACACATGCTGCTCTGATGGACTTATGTCTGGTACACCTTTGGACATTACTTAAGCCATAATTAATAAATACTAATAAATACAGTTTGCCTAAACATCACTAAATATTGGAAGGAATTATTATTATTTTTTTTTATGCAAATAAATATTGGAAGGATTTCAAAATAAATTTGCAGGGTACTGTCTTTTTTTCTTTTATTTTTTAGTAGGTAAACCACACACATCCCCCTGCCCCATTGCATGTTCCATTTGGAATTTGAACCTTCACCTCTCATAAACACAGTTTGCTAGATCATGCATATATATATATATATATATATATATATATATATATATATATATTGGATACAAAGCTAGAGCATATGATACTTGGTTGATCTATATATATGCCACTTTCATGGTTGTGTTGATGAACAACTTTATCCTTACCTTGCAAAGAATTGTATCGATTTAAAATTTTAAAAAAAATAATAATTAAAAAAAATCCCATGCACAAATATAAGATTATTGAGAGAGAGAGCTAGAGAGAGGAAGTATGTGAATAAAATATGCAGTCTTCACAGGTAAATGCAGTACTGTGTTATCACTGGTTCCAAGTTTAAACTTTTATATGTCAGACTACCTCTCTCAAGAAAGTAAATTTTACAAGGAGGAGAAAGAATATATATATATATATATATATATATATATATATATTGCATCACTTACCTGCTGCTGCATGAACTGGAAGTCTGGAAATACTTTGACTTTAGCTCTCAACAAGGGAAAATGGCTGTCTTGAAACCATGTAAACATTGTAAAACCACATAATTTGAGAAATAGACACTGAAGAATGTCATACCCAAACATTCATATATCTGTTAAACAAAAAAGTACACGCGGAAAAAGGTTTTAGTTTTATAATTTTTTTTTCTTTTCTAATAATCATTTTTCTCAAAACCCAAACAAGACACGGGAAGTAAAAACGTGTCGATTGATGAATGGTCCATGCACGATCAATTCCCTTCAAAGTCATTGGAAAAGGTAATACAATGAGAGCAGTAGCTTAATGGTGAAAAGCTGCAACATTAATATTATTCACTGTACACTGCATGAAAAATAGTTAAGAAAAAGGGACAGGAGAGAGAGATGCATGAGATCATCAGCGAAATTACTACTGTAATATATATATATATGTGTGTGTGTGTGTTTGTGTGTGTGTAAATGGCAAGGCCAAGTAGGCATAGATTGATTTAACTAAAAAAAAAAAAAAGGTAGGCATAGATTGCCCTGCAGGAAGATGTTAGTTGGCCGACTTTCCGGAAAAAAAGATGTTAGTTGGCTGATAAATTGTTTGACCATTTGTAGGCCGGGTGCTTATACGTTACATTAAACAAAGGCTGTTGTCAAGTATCTCAGACTGCAGGCAGGCTTACTAATTGCGTGATGAAGTAGTTTAAAATGAGTACTGGGGCTCCTTTACTCCTTTATATATATATATATGGAGAAATCAATAAATCTTACAATCCCCTGTCAGTTTGTATATATATATTGTAAATACATTCACACCTATTTTGACAACTCTCCTAAAAGTAAAAAAGTTGTCGAGAATATGCAATTTTAATTAATTCAGAACTTTGTACAGTGCACTTCTCTTTTATGCAATTAATATGCATGTAATGTACCCACACCTCCACTTTTCTTGATCTTTCTGAGATTTGATATGTACTTATAGTCAAAATAACAAATCTAATCCTCCTTATTTTAAAGGATCTTCTGTGATGCATCTACCCAATAAATAAATTTCTAGGTGTGTAGTATCTAAATGAGGGTGACAAGATGACTCAGTTTAATCATCAGCAATTCAATTGACCTTAAATAGTGGTTACTTAGGGTCTATTTGACAACCCTATTTTGTGTTGTGTTGTAAGTTGATGGTGTATTATAACAAAACAAAACAACTCAACATGCAACACTTTTTTGTTACTCAATCATGCAATACCTTTTTAATTAGCAAACATGTTTTGATGTTATTGTTTCAAAAAAAATTGCAACAAATTTTTATTATCAAACACACTTCCTATCACAAATGAACATACTCCATGATAAATATATAATTTTACTTTTTTTAAATAAAAAAAAACAAAAATGCAAAACGATTTCCAAACTAACCCAAATTTTGCTTGGTTTGTTAGAAAGGAAAAAAATTGAATGAAATAGAGAGAAGAAAGAATGACTGAGAAATCCTTAATGAGGAGATTAAGTGTTTCCTCTTTTTGTTCGGTTGGATGGAAAATAATGGAAAAAAACTGACAATTTAATTTGATCTCTAGGATAAAAGGAAGAATAAATTTTTAAGTTATTTTTACCATTAAACCCACCACTAGTTTGTTAAATATTTATGATGGATGATGTAGTTATTTAAAACTTCTATAATAGGCTCAGTTATCTTCTTTCTTATCTTCTGCCCATATTTGGGATGAAAATTTGTGAAATATTATACTTTCTTTCCTTATATCATCATCTCTCTACCTAAAGAAGGAAATTTGTTCCCTCCTTTTTATTTTCCTTCCAGTTCTCTTCTTCTCTAGCCATTTGGGCTAAAAGAGGCCCATAATAAACCTTGCGATATCAAGTAGCGTATCCATTTCCGATTTCCATGTGTTGGTGGGTTTTACTTTATTAGGGCCCAAGGCCCAAAATTGTGACCAAATAAAACGACGACGTATTTGCTTCTTACTTGCTTTAAATTCGTCTTCTTTTCTTGTTTGGAAAGCCAAACGCATCGCCGCTATAAAGTTGAAGACAGAAGACAGTCCAACAGAGAGAAATCAAGAAGAGAGAGATAACAATGGAAACTCCAAAGACAATAGCGAACGAAATCGGAGGAGTCCGAAACGACGCACTTCGTTTTGGAATTCAAGGCGTCAAGAGTGAAATCGTTGAATCTCATCCCCTCCAATCTGCCTATCACTCTGTACTTTCTCTCTCTAAAACTCCTCTCTATATAGATGGGTATATATTTATGTATAGGTCGTCTAATTTGTATGCTTCTCTATATGCATTTTTGATTAGGCAAGGAAGACGCAGAAGGAGATGAAGAGAAGGATCCTCGCGAACACGTACGGGTCGGCTTTTCCGATGAAGATGGACCTGGATAGTCAAATTCTTTCTATGTATTAGTTTTGAGTCTCGTCGTTTTAATGTGTAACCAATTGGTCATCGTTTTGTTGTTTGATACGATTTAATTTCTTGCAAAATTAGAGAACCCACCTAGGACTTTGGCTTTGAATTAGGGGTTTTTTTTTTTCTTTTGGGGCTTTTATTCTCTGTGAACTGGGTAGTTAATGCTTTTGACCGGTTGCTGATAAAGTGTAGGAAAAGATGAAATTAGAACATTGAAAATCTGGGATTTCATAGTAATTGGGATTTCTGAAAACATAAAACAATTCAACTGATTCAAAAATTAGTTGGCATCTGTCATGAGGGCAATGAGCTTTCCTCTTATTAGTACATTTAGAGCACTAAGCTGGAGACACGCACCATAGCATGGTGTTGGGCACATTGTAACTTCCTTGAAAAAATTCATCAAAATGCATTAGTCATACTTGCTGGCCGAAGTTAAGGATAGTTTAGTGATTGCTCCAGCAAAACCTAGTCAAAGTAGAGAGGATAAATGTTTAACAAGCATGCATTACCTTTTTTTTTATTGAAATTTGATACATTGAATTGTCACAATATTCGTGCACTACCAAATTAAAATGGAGGTGCTCATAAATGCCTTACATTAGGTTGCCTTCATGATAGGGTTTTTGGTATGATTTTTTTTTTTTTTTTTTTGCCATTTTGTTTTCTTGGGAATTCGATGGGAGGTTTAAGTTTCAGTTGGAGGAAGGTAGCAACCCCTATCCATCAGCCTATTTTTGCACAATAGGAATATCCCAGGTTCCCTCTTTGTTGCATTAGCTTATTGGGTTTGCCACTTCTGTAATGTCAAGTAATAATGTTTACCTCAAATATTAGATATTTGAGAGAGTCATGACATGGAGTCCTGACTGTTTTGATGCGAGTGAGGGTTGGCGTCATAATGACGTCAGCCACACCACAGATGTCAAACAGTCAGATTAGTCTGACTATCGGACCACAAATCATTTTCTTATTTGAAGAAGCAAATAGATTAGTGGTTAATGTACTATTGTACTGAGGAAAAAATCAAGTTTTTGTTTGCAGTTTTAGTAGTTCTAATCATATATTCAATGTCATTTCATATGTGTGCATACAGGGAAGTGAATTTTGACGTGTAACCAAAATGAGCAAATAAAACATTGGGTTAACCAAATTTGATTTGGCATGTGTAAGTAGGCTTGTCAACGGATTGGATTTGATCCAAATCCAGTCTAAATCCAATCTAATAACTAGGATGTGGAATGAATATTTAATAATCCTTTAGTGATTTGAATTCGGTAATTTGTTAAAAGTTTAAACTTAAAAATCAGATATCAATAATGCTCAATCTAATCCGATAGTAATACGATCGACCAAATATAATATATAATACTCAAACACCAAATTACATCTCATAAGAAATTGGGTTAGTGCATTGAATATCTGATAAACAGCAAAATGGGATATGGATTCAATAACAGATAATCTGTCAGATTATTGGGTAGGATAGGATTACATATATTCCTTATCGGATTAAGACCATATATCAAGATTCAAGCCAAATCCGATCTGATTCTTCGACAGATCTATGTATAAGGACTCCAAAATAGATTTCTGACATTTTCTTTTTTGTGTAACTAGGAATAGATGCCGAGTTACTTAGTTTTGGCACCTGTAGGTGCAAAATTTCGCTCAACCAATAATGATTGAGAAAAATAAAACAAGTCACTCAAAAACAATAAAAATAAATAAGAACAGGGTATAGAGAAGCGTAGAATTGCTTAATCCTTTATTAGAGGTCTTAGCCTCTATTTATACACAAAAGATTGCAAAATTATGGTAGGACTCGCCTTACTTGTCCTCCACTTCTTTTTATATAACCATTTTTTTCTTATAGAGTTCTTTCCATTGTCGAATTTTCCATACATAGAACTTGCCTTGTATAGAACTTCCTATCAGAATTTTCCTTCTACAGTAAATCTTTCAAATGGTAGGACTTGTGCATTCTTGGGCTGAATATATTTTGATCCGGCTGGGCTTGAGTAACAGGCCGGATGTTAAATACCCATAAGCTGGGCTGATGACTTCTTGATTCGGCCTTGATGGAAGTTGGAGGACAAATAACAATGGTCTTGGGTTGTGAATACCCTCAACTTGGGCTTGAGCATGATGGGCCTTATATGTCCTTGGAATGTAGACATGGGTAGTGGTGACGTGTGCGCTTTTTATTGGAGGGAGTTTTTTTCCCTCCACACTTTGCCCCAAATTTCGTTTTTAATTGAGCGACGGCTCCTATTAAAGAGGGAATTGAAACCGGTTTTTTACTTTGATTCAGAAACGGTTCGAGGTCTTTCATTATTACTCCGACGTACAAGATTTTGCAAGAGTTACATTTGCCCTTGCTGCACTTCTGCGTTCTTCATTCCATCGCTTTGTCAGGTTAGTCTCGCATCTTTCTCTTCAATTTTTCCTTATGAGTACTTCATCTACTCCCGAACGTATAGACCTTGGGGATTCTGAATCCACACCTTCATCTTCCCCCGTTCGCATTAGGGTTCCCCCTCCTAGGGTTTCTACAGATCGCCCTTTGTCGAATCCATTAGGTACTTCCCCTCTTCCAACCGAGACATCTACCTCAGGCTCTGATTATGTTCTTAGTCATGACGAGAAGAAAGCAATCATCTCCATTCGCTGCATCAAGTTCTCTATTGCTTCGGTAATGGAAGAATTTGATATTCCTGAGGGAGTAGAAATTGCAGAATATCCCGAGGGTGCCGATTTTACCTCTGGCGAGGGAGTTGAGGAGGATGAGTTGCTTCTTTCGGTGGGGCATCTTAATGCCCTCCGATTCCCTCTTCATCCCTTCTATCATTTAGTGTTTAATAAGCTGGGTCTTACCCCCCTTCAAGTAAACCCTAATTTCTTTCGCATCCTTTCGGCACTGTTGGTGCGCCGGAAATTAGAGGCTCTAGATTTGACCCTTGCCGACCTTCTGCTTACTTACAATATATCTAAGCATGGGACCGAGCCTGGTCGCTTCTTTTTTACTTCTCCCCTTCATCAGAGGATATGCACGAACCTTCCTTCATCCGAAAAGAAATGGAAAGAAATGATGGTTATAGTTAAAGGAAAATGGTTCGTGTCCCAATCAGTTGCGCTTCCTATCCCGCGCAAGTTCGGGAAACTAGGTATAGAATATTTAACCTCCCTTCATACCAAGTGTTCTGGCTGTTTTCCTTGCCAAGTCTTAATGTTTCGACGTATTTATGAGTTTCTTGGTGTTTTTTCAACTACATTCCCATCCTCCGCAGCAAGGAACAGACTTTCTTTTCTTGAGGAACGAGTCTGGAGTGACCCCTCGCCTATCGAGGACCTGCTAACTTCTTCAAACCTCAAGGACATTGCCTCTAGTGCCGTTGCTGCAGACCTCATGGATCTGTCTCTACCATCCTTTGACAGTTTCCCCATGACTGAGGAGGAGATACGGAGGGCTGAGGCTTTAAAAAAGAAAGCCGAAGATGCCCAACCCTTGATCGTTATTAGATCAACTGAGGATGAGGTGGAGGTTGAGGAGCCACCAATGAAGAAATCTCGCCTCAACCCCTCATCCTCTGGCAAGGGCAAGGTCCCTTCTAAAAGTAGAGGAAAAAAGGCTGGAGAGGCCGAACCTGAAGATGAAGTCAGGGCCTTTGTTCTAGCTGAGACTGGGGCTCCTTAGACTCCTTCCTTCACCAGGGCTGATAAGTCAGTCCTGCACTCAGGGGATTCTGTGATTACAGACCCTTCAGCTGCACTGGCGATGGCTCGAGGAATGTGGCTCCCAAAGGACGAGGAAGCCATCAGCCAAATGGGGTTGGAGCAACTACTCCCCTCTGCCCCAGTCCGGGCCATAGAGGTTCGCATTGCTTCTTCAGAATTATGTTACTCTTGCTTGCTTGTGTTTCTATTTATGCTTATATTTGCTTCCCTGTTAAACAGAGTCTATACCACACCATGGCCCTCTGCGCCACTGCTGAAGCTTAATCCCTCTCCATCAAGAAGTTGGAAAAGGATCTTGACAATGCAGAGAAGAGAGCCACTACTGCCTCTACCAATCTGAAGATAGCTTCTGAAGCCAAGGATGCGTATAAGAGGCAGTTATCAGCCTCTGAGGCTAAGGTGGATTCTCTTCAGGCCGAGGTTCAACGCCTGACCGAGGCTCTTACTACTTGCTTCAAGGCGGGGAAGGAAATGCAGGGGCGCTACTCCTATCTGGCGCACCTGGCTAGTGCTAAAGCGTTCCGGTCTGGCTATAATCAGGGCCCAGGCCCTAAGACGATGGATTCGGACGCCTTTGACAAGTAGGTGGGGGTGCACTTCCCATACGATGAAGGGCCAGAGGCTTTGGAAGCTGAAATCCGCTTTGCCGAGATGGTGAAGGCACACCTGAAGGGTCCTCCTAGCTCCCCTGCTCCTACGGCTTCAACTCCTCCTACCTCAAGTCCTAATGTAGTGGATGCTTTTGAATCTACTCCCTTCGATCCGAAGAGGAAGTAGAACCATGTATTTTGTTTTTATGAACAGCCTGTTTTGGGATAATGAGTAATGAATATAACTTTTTGTTTTAGGCTTGCCTGACTTGTTTTTGCTGTATGCTCTTGATACTGTTCATATTTCTCTGATTGGTAATGTGTTTAAACACTAAACATTGTCTTTATGCTTCGGATTTATGCTATCCGTGAAAACGCAAGGATTGTGGGAAGAAGGAGATCCTTTTAACAGTTTAGTTGATATCGCAGGATGATTCATATGGACAATGATTTAACTGTTAAATGAACCCTCCTTGCCTTTTACTTGCCTGCAGTAGACGTATACACACTCTTTCCTTCTCGTGTGTTCCTGATGTGGAGTGGAGTATGATGAACTTACGATATATCCGCATCCATAGGGTATTAAACACTTGGAATCCGGAGGAAAGAGTTCTGATCCGGGTACCAGAGGTCTAAAGTGAATACTCCTCGGCACTGAGTGTGGAGGAATATTGCTGACTAGAACACTTAGGGTCCAGATCTGTCTCGGATACTTAGGATTCGAGGCGAATTATCCCTCGGCACTGAGTCGTGGAGGACTAG